CCATAGACTCTCTTGGCATACCCATATTGAAAATACTATGTCCAGGATCAGGAAACTTATTTGGATTTTCAAAACGTTACGTCATGTCATGTCACCGTCGTTATTAAATAATATTTACATAGCCTTAGCACAGCCGATAATTACATACTGTATAACGATTTGGGGAGGGGCCACAAAGATCAAGTTCCTGGATCTCGAAAGAGCCCAAAGGTTTCTCATTAAAGTAATGTATTTTAAAACCATGAGATATTCTACTGACATTCTTTATAAGGAAAGTAACCTGCTCTCTGTAAGGAAATTATACATACTAAACATAACTGTAGACAAGCATAAGAGCCTCGCATTTGATCCATCAAATCTCCTTAAAAGACGTAGTGACATTGTGGCCCACTCCCAAGCGGTCAAAACTGTTTTTGCTAGGCGTCAGTATAATACGCAATCAACCTATATTTATAATAGACTGAATCTCAAGTTGAACATCTACCCTAAGCTGCTATACGACTGTAAAAAAACTGTGACGGAATGGCTAAAAACACTAACATATGAAGAAGTTGAATATATACTAGTACGAGAATCATAATCATAATCATAAACACACACACGCACACACACACACACACACACACACACATATGTACACACTCTTCATGCATGTCATAGCATAAGCATTATTTTTGTTATATAAATAAGAACCTACCTCTTTTGTTTCGATTGGTCTCAACAATGTAATTAATATAAGGGAAGTTGCGAGGTAACCCCATCACAAGTATTATTTATAACTTACCGGGGCTGCCTCAATTTTTGTAAGAAACGATAATGTTTGAAACCAATAAAGCTTTATTTATTATTTATTATTTATTAATGGTCACTAAACGGAATTTAATAACACCCTCATAAACATTTGTTTTAATAGTAATACCACTGGTTCTAAGATGGTTAAGCTGGTCAATAACTTTTTGAAATACCAGGTTATTACCGAAAGCAACCCGATCCGATGAATGAAACAAAGCCAATACAAAAATATTTTGCAAAATAGAGGTATAATGGGGAGGAAGACATGGTATTGATAAATACACACCACCTAGCTTATGGATTCCTGCGTGACTACCCAACGGATTGCCTATTTCAAAATCGTCGAAGTAAATAACAATAGGAAGTGTTATTTCATTCTCAGTGTCCATTATAAGCATCTCTTGCCATATACTACCCTGAATAATATTTACAATAGGATATAAGTTTTTCTTCAAATTTTGTAAATAGTCTAAAGTGTCTTTTAAAACGTTTGGTAAGGAAAAGAATTTCTGAAGTACTAATTCTATAGGTATTATTTGCATTGTGCTTGTAGTTGGAATTAAAGACATAATTCCAGATGGCGCTTGCCTGTTTTCCATACGTTGGCCAATTATTTTTTCCAAAGGTTCTATGTATGTTCCTAAATCTTTAAAAAATTTTAAACGTTTATATTCTGTACGCAAATCGTTTAAAACTGTACTATGCAATGATAACATATGTTTAATAGCTTCATTGGTGTTATGGCTTATTTCGTTAGCTGGTACGATTTCTCGAAAATGTTGCAACAGAACATCTTGCGTCTTAGACATATAACTTTGCAGTAATACTATTATATTCTGCACCGCACTGCGTGGTATTTTAGGGTCAACATATAAAGATGAAACAAAATGAGACATTTCTTGTGTAAGAGTATACTGAGCCCTTTCACAGGTTAAGGCGCTCTGACTAACTGACGACGCTACTGATTCTCTGCAGCTTTCAGACACAACTTGCGGAGTTACGGATGAAGACGGCAAGTCTTTTGATAAATTTACCCGCAAATCACGAGAATGACACTTAAACAAATGTTTTTTAAACGATAACGCTAAACAATAGTGTCGCAAACATCCTTCTTCACCGCAAATAAAATCTGAAATGCCGCTTGCATGTTTACAAAATAACCTAAGATGCGTTATCAATAGCTGTATAGATTTATACTTATTTTTACAGTAGTAACAAGTATATTCCAACATTGTTAATTTTATTTTGACCTGATTTTAAAGTTATACCAACAATCCTAGGTCATTTAAGAGGCTATTTATGGCTTGGTTAGTTCGGTCAAACTTAGTTTTAATTTTATAGAAGCCAATTTGGATTACATGCCAGATGTCCATACATTCTTCGGGGTAACAGGCCCCAGTAGCATGAAATATTTTAAAAGCAGCATCCACTGCTGTGACTAATTTTGGAAAATTGTAACAAGTATTGTTGATGATAACATATGAAGCCCTTACAGCTGCCAAAGATTCACCCACGAAAATAATAAAAGGCTGTAACGTTCTTCCAAGTCTCTGCAGCTTAGCTCGTCTTGATTCAATTACTGAATACACCTCCGCCTCAGATGCTACCTGTGTTATGAACCCGTCGCGTATTTCAGAGCGAGATGGTTTCCAGTATTGTTTGCCTCGTTTTCGAGTCGGACATGTCCCAATAACGTAAGCCAAAAGTATCAGCGCCACATTTGTATATGTCTCATTATCAGCGTCTGCAAAAACATTATATTCATTGTATATTTTAAATTTGAGTGACTTAGGCTACTTTTTATCCCACTGCTGGACACTGAAATAAAGTGTAATTTCGGCGAGCAAAGTCGCGGGCAAAAAGCTAGTTTACTTTAATTAAAATATATCCTTAAAAATCTACTCTCTGCGGTTATTATTAAGGCAATTATTAAAACAATGTAGTATAGTTGACTTATTGCACGTATATGTATAACATACACATTATGTTCTCTTTCATATAACCCATTGGGAAAAATCTTACCTTCAGTGAGGTTAATGTAATTTAATATACACTTCTTTATATCTTTGTCCCTCGTCGTGTTTTCTTTGTCTCGAGCAAGCCGTACAATTTTCTCCCGTAGCAAGACAATATTGGAAAAAAGGCCATCATTTTTATTTTGGTGGAGGATTTCAAAGTCATGTAATAACTGAAAATATAAGAAGGAATAATACAGGGTCGGAAAAATATGTTTTAAAAAACATACTACCAAAACACAAAGAGCACCAACAAAAATAAAATATTTATGTATTATGCATAAATAACTTTTAAAACTTTTACAATGCAGTATGGACCTGAAACTACCAACCGATCTACCAGCCGGTCTTTGTTCGGGGCAACAATAATCAAGGGGGGCGCAAAATAAAAAAATAATAAAAATTAATAAATTCGCGCTAATTAAGCACAAATTAATATATAAAATTGAATTTTACTATGTTTTGGATTTTTAAGGACCAAAATACCTACTTCACATTATGAAAATTAAAAAAATATATAACGATTCGATCAATAATAAAAGAACATATAACGCTAACTCCGATCTAGCTCATTTTTTCCTAGGACCTTTTTAACATACCAGAGAATAAGTAGCTGTTGATATTCCGAAGAATAAAGACTCCATTTTAGTAATTTGGGACTTAAAAAGTCTACATAAATTTTATTATATATTTTAAGTCCCAAAACACCAAAATGGGTCTTGATTCTCCGAGATATCGATAGCTACGGGTCCCTTATTATGCTAAAAACGTTCTAGGAAATAATCAAGAAGGTCCGAGTTTGCGTTATATTTTTTTATGAATTTTCTAAGTTTTCAGACTAAAACGTATGTAGATTTTCTAAGTCCCAAAACACGAAAATGGGTTCGTGATTCTCCGAGATAACGATAGCTACGGGTCCCCTAGTATGCTAAGAAGGTTCTATAAAAGAATCAAGGAGGTCCGAGTTTGCGTTACATTTTTTATGATTTTTTTAAATTTTCGTACTAAAATGTATGTAGATTTTCTAAGTCCCAAAACACGAAAATGGGGTCTTAATGCTCCGAGATATCAATAGCTACGGGTCCCCTAGTATGCTAAGAATGTTCTAGGAAAGAATCAAGGAGGTCCGAGTTTGCGTTATATCACTGTTGCCCCGAACGCAAGGACCGGCTGGTAGCTCGGCTGGTAGTTTCAGTTCCATCAATGCAGTTGCCCCCGTTACATGGAAGGAAGACTTAATAATTTGTTAAAGATTTATCAAATCATCATCATCAGCCCATTATTTTCTATTTCTTTATACATACCAACATTTATTTTTTTCTCAGCTACTGCATTATAAACGTTTTAAAACGTTGAACAGGGTAATAAATATTTGAGTGGAGAATCAATTTATGCAATAGGTAAATAAAATGAAAAAATTATGAATGTAATGGTGTTTGCTTACCAGAGTATAACCCAGAGGCTGTGTTAGCGCTGGAAAAGTATTGAAATATTCTGAAATTTTTCCTTCTCCAACAATTATAGGTTTAAGGCGAACAGTTGCAGTTGCTCTCCAATATTCTTCAACCATTCGCCAGGGTTCAATGCTATTTTGCAACCAAGTCAATTTTTCTTCAGATGTTTCATCATCTATAACAAAAAACCTAATTAAACAGGATGATAAGAATACGATGTTTTTTTTTAAGGTGTAACAGTAGAATGAAAACATATTTTCCAATTCCAAAAGTAACAAGACAAAATTAAAAATTTAAATCAACCGCCGACATAAACGTGTGAACAGCCCTTTACAATTTCTAAGCTGCAATCACAGAGTACTAAATTACAATAGTTCACAGAGTACTAATTAATATCATGTCATCTTTCAAACACAGGTCTTAAATCAAACATGCAATTTTGAAGCAACCCCTGACATCAAACTTGTGAACATAACTCTATAAATTTTAACTGACTTCTATGAGAATCTTATCAGCTCTCAAACAAAAAAATTGCATTAATGGTCAACCGTTTAATAGTAACATACGGTAAATTGACACACAGACTAAAAACTCAATAAACTACTGTCAAAAACCTGTTCGATCATGACAAATATCAAACGCAAAAAAAACCGCATTTAATTCGGTTTACTCGTTGACGAGCTAGGATGCCACAGACAGACACACAGACAGGTCAAACTTATAACACCTCTCTTTTTTGGTCGGAGGTTAAAAACACTATTTAATAGATAAGTTCAAAGATTGGTTGGGTTACCTAGTAGATCGATATCACTAGAAGTAACAGATACTGTTTCTGTGGTATCCGTACATGTAGATCTCGATGTTGAAGACGATCGGCTTGTACCTGGTAATTCCCCCCTGGACCGTAACTTTCGTCTGCGACTGATGTAAGATTCATACAACTTTCCACTGGTGTTTTTTTTTATGACCCTTGTTGCCAGTAGCAGGTTCATAAGGAGAATAATATACCACAGAACTTTCTTGTTTAAACAGTTCCTGTATTTGTGCAGCTAAGTTTTGAAATTCACATGTTGATATTGCTCTGGATGGGTTCTTTTCAAGGAGGTGAAGAATAATAATTTGGCTCAACCTCTTACGGTCGCTTTCTTTTAGTAAGCCTTCAGCTCTTTTACCCTCTGCTAAAATTGCTCTGCCATCAGAACTACTCTGTGAAACAAATGAAATATTCTTGAAATCAGAAATAACAATTATCATAAAATAAGCTGCAAGCTTACTATACTAATGAATTGCATTTGGCAACTGAACTACCTCATGAATTCTGTGTTTGGGAACTAACTACGTGGTGGATTCTATGTTCGGCAAGTAAACTACGTGGTGGTTCTGTGTTCGGCAACTAAACTACGTGATGGATCCTGTGTTCAGCAACTAAACTATGTCATGCATTCTGTTCCCAGCAAGACAATTGTTTGTAATCCTCACATTTAAAATTGTTTCAACCTATAACAAAAAAGAAATTGTGATTATGGAGATTGTGTACAGGATGGACAAACATTAGCAGCAATATTTACTTAGGGTTTCCTATTAATATTTATAAAATTGATATTTGGATATCGTAAAGCCACCCTTTGAGAGTATTTAAATGAAAAAATAAAAAGAAAAGGCCAAATCATTGAGGGTTTTCAAACAAAATAATTTTCTTTTTTATCAAAATCTCGAAAGCCAGGTCATTTTATTCCTTTATTATTAGATCAACTCAAATTAAAATTTACTTGAATATGTAAAATAAATATAAATATGTATAACTTACACTGTTGCTGCAATTTGTAAATTTCCTGATGCTTTCTAAGGACTCTGATATTATATCCTCTTCCTGTATTGAACTGCCAGCATCAGCATTTTTCGTTTGACTTAAACTGTTGCAAATTAATGCACCATTCTGTACTTCATAAGAAATGATTTGGCTTCCAATAGCACAATTTTTGTTAATATTTTCAGAGTCAAATATTTCTTGCAAGGCACTGTCATTCATTAACTGAAACAGATAGACAACTATATCTACTGAAATTACAACAGTGTAAAAACCAGAGCCAAACAGAATCAAACATTTAGTCACTTGTTTGAAGTCAGCATACATTGCAGACAACTATATTTACTAAAATCATAACAGTGTAAAAACCAGGGCCAGAGAGAATGAAACATTTGGTCACTTACAATACATATAAAGTAGACAATCTTTGAAAGAAGTATAATCGCAAACTTTTTTTTATAATTAATCCCCAATAAGAAAAAAAAAAACTTTCTTTTCAAAACACTTTCAACTCCTAAAGCTTAAAATTTTCAGCGACAACATATGTATGAATATATTTTGTAATGAATAGGTAATACATACACTGTTTTAAATGAATAATCGACCACATTACATTCAGACAGAGGAAAGTCATTTGTTTAACCATGTTGAAGAATGCTCCTATCTGCTTTAACCTAACAGGTCCATTCTCACTGGTAGGACATTAAAATGGGCTGGTATGATGGTCAAGACTTAGCGGTTCAGGAAAAATAAAATAACTAACCGACTCATTGAGCAATTTCCACTTTTTGAGTGCTGCTTTTATTTTCATGCGATGGCCGACTATAGGTATTAATTGTTGTAGTCCTTCATCATCAAGTATTTTTAATGCATCATCATCAATGCAATTATCTGTAAAATATATGGAATTATAAGTAAGAGCGCAGATGATTATAGAACCGAGATGCATTACTTTTCAAGGCGGGTGTAAGTTTCAGAGGTTTTAAAGCGCATGGTTGCTAGGCCTTAAAAGGTAGCAGCTGCAGCTGAGATGTTTGAATTCACTCTAGGCCGTGTGACTCCCCGAGGAGTAGAATACGACTACCCTCTTTCTTACCGAGGTGTCGTAAAAGGCGACGAGGTAAATATGCATGTAAGTTCACCAGCATGTACAGAGAAGGAAAATTGTACAATTATAACTATTAAAACCCGTGCAATTATATCAAAACCAAAACACATGGTACTGAGTATGTGATTTCCTCTCACGGAGGCAGTGGGGCCGGGGACGTGCCTATATGGGCTGATAAAGAAGGTAGGTACTTACCAATAAAGACCTGCAGATACTGTTCCTTTAACGATGTTTCTTCAAGAATTTTTATTAATTCACACTGCCTCGCTGCTTCAGCCATTTTTATTACGTTTTATCATTCAGTATGTCACTCAATGTAACTGAGTATTATCAATTTAACTAAAACTAATAATACCCAGATATTGCAATAAAATGAAATACCAGTCGTAGTTTTTCAATCTATTACAATTTTCATTAGTGTTTTCAATGTAATTACAAATAAATTTCCAAAAAGAAATACAAAACACCATGACGCGTCTAAGAACCGAACACAGAATCAGTGTTGCCAGCGGACCTTCCGCAAAAGTACCGCGAAATCGGGAAAAAGGTAACGAAAACTGGACAGATGGTAACGCTTTCTCTTTCTTTACTTTTATTAGCAATTCGAAAGCAATCTGACATATGCACGATGTTCAATGTGTCTTTCTTATGAATGCTTTATTATTTTTATTGTGTTACAAAACAAAACAAAACACTCGTTGAACGGTGGCATATGCCAGATTGCTATTGGATTGGTAATCGCTGAGATACGTAATTGACATCAAGCAAAGAATGTAAACTAGTAGTTTTTATATAGGCAATCGATAGCTTTTTGTATGTATATACCTCCATATTTTTTTATTTTTTTTAAAGCAGTATTTATTTAGTTATTTTAAATCGGGTGACTCACGTGATTTTTAGCCGGGAATGCCAACTATAGTTTCCCGGCTAAAAATCACGTGAGTCACCCGATTTAAAATAACTATGTCTACATCTCACGTTAGTTTTAATGATATTACAGTATTTATTTTTAAATAATTTCTATCATGGAAACTTTCTGGTGGTTTGGAAAAATAAACACATAGAATGTGACAGTTGTTTCTCTTCCCGCGCAGATCGTAAAAACCGGCCAAAAGACTATGTAATGATGTAAAGGATCAAGATAATAGGCAATGTGGCTAGCAACCTATCTGTACTAGGATCCTGTTAGCGACGACCGTATGACCATCGACTTGCGAAACGTAACCTTTGGGCTTTACGGCTTTGGCCGCTATGTATGTAACATTGAAACACCAAATTTCCTGAATGTTATAGGTATTGCTTGCGACGGTTTGGAGCTACTAAGTATGAACTATTGCACAATACCTCGGAATCCAGTATACTAACATCATATTTGCAATCGGCGCTGGGCGCGGCGTGGATTTTATATATATATATATGTTATCGGCCATTTCGTCACTTCACACTGCTTTCAGTGTCTACGGTCTTGGGTTCGAAACTCGGTGGTAACAAGGTTTTTTTTCGTTTTTTTTTTCTTAATAGAACGCCGAGCGAAGCTAGGTCACCCAGGTACTAAGTATTAAAGTTTGTATGTGCTATTTATTTTAATCTCCAGCGTCATCTACTGAACTGACAATTTATAGGTGCCAAATCTGCTCAAATGGTAGAAATTTACCAAAAATGGTAACACTGTTTCCAGCCTGTTCTGGCTTGGAAAACGGTCTATACCGATGTCATGTCATTACAATGCAACGGTTTCTTTATATCAGTAAGTCGGCGCGTTATAATGTATAGTTTACATTACAGTCTAGTGTTGGACACATTATACGGTTATAGCACCATAAATAAAAAGTGATGTACCTATGTATAATTGATCGGTAACCTTACCAATGTTCCGACTACATTTCAATTTAACCGACTTCAAAAAAGGAGGAGGTTCTCAATTCGTCGGAATCTTTTTAGGGTTCCGTAGTCCGACAAGGAACCCTTATAAGATCGTCCAGTCCGTCTGTCTGTCCGTCTGTTCCAGTCTGTCACAGCACAATATTTTCTACGTTTATAAACCGATTTGCATGTAACTTGGTCTGTCGATACTTTGGATATAGATCTCAATTTTAAAAACCAAATAAATAAAAATCACCCCTTTTTAAGGGTACCTCCCCATGCATGTAAAGTGGGGTGGGGGTGAATTATTTTTTTTGAGCACACCCCCTTTTGTGGGGTATCGTTGAAAAGGTCTATGAATATTAGGTAAAGTTTCCATACGATACTTTTTTACCAGCTTTACCATTTTTACAATTTCGTAAAATATTCGAATTACGTATAATGTAACGTGCACACAATACTGTTCCAGCAGCATTCTTTAGTTGTAGAGTATGTATAATTGATCAGTATCTTTACACAATTTTTCGACGAAATTTTACGTAATTACACACCTTTTCATGTCGCTATTACATTAAAATCGAGATGTGAACTACTTATAATGTAACGGGTAAGTTACAAGGTACCAGAAGCATTGTCTGGTTGCAGATATCCTACAATGGTTTTGTATCTTTACGCAATATTTCAGCGACAGTATAAGTATGTGCAATTATTATAATGTACACTGCACATTACGGTCTATATTCGAATTACGTATAATGTAACGTGCACACAATACTGTTCCAGCAGCATTCTTTAGTTGTGGAGTATGTATAATTAATCAGTATCTTTACACAATTTCCGACTGCATTTTACGTAATGTCACACCATTTTATGTCGCTGTTACATTAAAATTGAGATGCGAGCTACCTATAATGTAACGGGTAAGTTACAAGGTACCAGAAGCATTATCTGGTTTCAGATATCCTACAATGGTTTTGTATCTTTATGCAATGTTTCAGCGACAGTATAAGTATATGCTATTATTATAATGTACCCTGCACATTACGGTCTATATGCGAATTACGTATAATGTAACGTGCACATAATACTGTTCCAGAAGCATTCTTTAGTTGTAGAGTATGTATAATTGATCAGTATCTTTACACAATTTTTCGACGACATTTTACGTAATTTCACACCTTTTCATGTCGCTATTACATTAAAATCGAGATGCGAACTACTTATAATGTAACGGGTAAGTTACAAGGTACCAGAAGCATTATCTGGTTGCAGATATCCTACAATGGTTTTGTATCTTTACGCAATGTTTCAGCGACAGTATAAGTATGTGCAATTATTATAATGTACACTGCACATTACGGTCTATATTCGAATTACGTATAATGTAACGTGCACATAATACTGTTCCAGCAGCATTCTTTAGTTGTAGAGTATGTATAATTAATCAGTATCTTTACACAATTTTCCGACGACATTTTACGTAATGTCTTACCGTTTTTATGTCGCAGTTACATTAAAATTGAGATGCGAGCTACCTATAATGTAACGGGTAAGTTACAAGGTACCAGAAGCATTATCTGGTTCTACGGTATGTCTATGGAATGGAACACATACACAATGCTTAAACGACATAATACGCATGTGGCAGTGGTATACTGTACCAATGACATTATTTATCTGTATTTTACATACTTATACGTATCTATTAGTATTGTAATGATTTGTAATGTGTCCTTGTCCATAACAGATTGTTGGGAGCTACGAACTGTTAGGATTTGGCAACATGACTAATGAGGCTTTATATGCTTACGTACTTGACAGCGAATACATTACAGATCATGTTGCGGTATAAAACGCTTGAGGAATATGCTACATTATTACGTAATACTCAACAAAAATAAGGACACTGCTTCCTTATTTTAGTTTAAATTGCTTATACATTACGGTAATGTACGAACAGGCTCAAAATTTTTCTCAGTGAAGTAAAAAGTCAGTCAGCACACAGTCACATCGTCAGTCCTCACTATCACCACCACAGTTACATTGTCAATCACCATCACCACCACAATTACATTGTCAACCACCATCGGAATGGTCTCTTAAAGATCAATTACAGTTGAGGAATGATTCCGGTGATGAAACTTATGTCATGTCTGAGAGATCTCACCGAGACTCATATTGTCAATCTGAGAAAATCATTCTCATGTCAAATTTCTGTGATAATAATGGTGATGATGTCATGTCTAAGAGGTCTAAAAAGAACCTCGGTGATGAAAGCAGTCACCTGTCTGAGAAACTAAATTTTTACTAAAATTTCTGTGATGATAGTGGTGATAATGTCATGTCTAAGAGGTCTAAAAAGAACCTCGGTGATGAAAACAGTCACCAGTCTGAGAAATATAATCTCATGTCATATGGTCATAATTTAAACAAATGTTGTGATAGTCAAAGTGTGTATCTCAATGATGAGTACAGACACATGTCTGAGGAATCACCTCACACGCTCACAACACCACATCAAAGTCATCAGTCATTGAACAACATTAATACAGTTCATGTTTTTATAATAACTATCGTGAGACATACTAAATTAACTAAAAATCGCAGGCTACTCACGTGTAAATATTGAGAAAAGCGAGTAGGCTGCGCGACGTCGCCGCGTCCGCGCACGCTGCTCATGAGGAAGAACCCCTCTGTGGTTCGAAACTAGAAGAGCTTTTCTCAATATTTACACGTGAGTAACCCGCGATTTTTAGTTAATTAATACAGTTCAATTAGAACCTAACATTAACAAAAGTAAACAGTCCTGGAATATTAATTTAAACGTATGTAATTTAAAATTCAATTGCATCATAGATTCAGGAGCTGATTTAAACATTATGTCGAAACAAACTTTTAATTATTTGAAACATAAACTTAAACAGTTGTCAATTGTCAAAAGACATATAAATGTCACAGGATTTAGTGGCAAATCAATACCCATTATGGGAAAGGTCAATATTAAATGCAATTTAATATTAAATAATAACAATGTCAGTGAGAACATAGTGTTCATAGTCGCAAATTTAGAGTGTCCCAATGTCTTAGGTCTTCCTACATGTGAAAGGTTAGGAATAATTAAAAGAGTTTTTTCAGTGTCTAAACAAAATTATTGTCAACAAATTCTAACAAAATACAATGATGTCTTCCAGGGTCTTGGCTGTCTACCTCCTGTCTGTCACCTGAAACTCAAACCTGATGCAGTACCATGTGTGAGTAGGATATTATTGGGCATTCTAATCCACCGAGAGTGACGGAGGCGAACGGAGTGAGCCGTAGGAACGGAAGGTAGGAATATAAATGGGTTACCTTGTTCGATCAGCAAACGGATTGGGCGCCATTCCACTATTTCAGTTCACACACTTACACGTTAACAAA